CTGCGTAATTATTTTTTCAGAATTCGCTTATCTGTTTTTACTACTTTTGACCGCTGTAGTCCCATAGTGCGGTAGTTTGTATAGTAGTATTTTGTTTCTCTTTGTAAATAGGATAAGTTCTGTTTTGACAGGGTTCACATTTAGGCCGCAGGCGTGCAGCCTTCCCAAGGTTCTTTCAAGTATTTCGCTAACGGTTAAAAGAAATGGGCCTGCAGTTGCTATTAAGTAAAATATCATCCGTGTACGGCCACAACTTTGACAATTAATTAAATGACTGCAAAATTGTCAAAATTTAATTATAACAATCTCGAATTTTTCAATTTATCCAGCTACTGGTACTTGTTTTCAAAAATTTTTGTTTAAAACCGCTTTAAGTAGGCTTAATGCAAGTAGGCTTACTTAACACATCCATTGTACCAGAGCAGCAATAAAATTGCAGCAGCTTTGTTAATATTTAGTTAAATGCCATGGTTTTGAAAGTGACATGAAATACTTTGTATCAAATGTATTACTCTTAAGGCTACATACCTAATTGAACTGATGGGGCTTAGGCCAAGAGAATGTTTTCACGAAAACCACAAATGCGAAAGCATTTTCGTTTATTAATTATCTAAATATTTCACGCTTGCATTAAGCTAAATAATTCTTTGCTTGTAAACATTTCTGCTTCTAAAGTGAAAATGGATTACACTAAATAACACCTGGCAAAAGACTTTGTTGTGTCACCTTAACTTAAAACAGAAATCCATCCTAGTGGTTATGTTAATTAATTTCGCCAATTCACTCGCTTGTTTTTCTCTCTACTAAACAANCGTTGCGACGACACTAAATGCTTCCAGCTCAGCAGACGGCTGTCGGTGTGCAGTCGTGTGGGTGGGTGAGGCGTAAGTTTGCTGAAAATTCTCAAATTCATTAATCATTTTTAGTGGCGCCCACATAAGTAGGCTTTGCCTTTTTGGCTGCTTTGTTGGGCTGTCAACGTCGAAACGTGACTGTGGAAGAGAACGCATTCATGCTTACTGTACTTATGTATGCATGTATGTATATGTGTGTACTGTATTTTTGTGTTTGTTCAAAGAAAAATAAGTGCTAAACGGAATGACAAAGTGGCAAAGTTTCCGTTTGCCTTATTATTATTACATTGCCTACTTTTAAGCTGGCAGACAGCGCGGGGGACTAAGAAAAAATACGCACAAAAACCAAAAATAAATAAATGAGGTGTTTATGTGTTGTTGTTAAAAAACTATTTTTCACTTTGGCGACGAGTTTTTGTATTCGAATTTCTTTTATTGTTTTCGTGTTTGTGTTATCTTTTGTGGCAAACCACACGCTGTTGCGCATTAGAGAACGAGTAGTGGGTAGCACTTGTTAGCAACCGCAGCTGAAAATGGTGAAGAGTTGAAAAGTCATAGGCCGCGTTGGGCAAAAGGGTCAACAAACGAAATGAATGGACTAATGCTCCTTATTTATTTATTTATTTTTTTTTGGTGTTGATGGGACATTTTTAACCACAGATCAGACACATTTTTTTAAAGAGAGTAAACCAGATAAGCGAAGCGTTGGGGTCAAGACAATAAATAACAATTGAGCGACACTTGAGCAGCTAAAAAGGAAAAAATCGAAAAAATAAAAAAATCGAGCCTTTGATAAATCGTCAGCTAAGCGCGCTAATCAGTTGCTGGCCGTGTTGCTAAGTGTGCTTGAGCATATTGAGAAGATCAACGAAAAGTTGTGCGCAACAGGCAAAACCCTCAAAAGATAATGATAAAGATTCTTCATTTCAAGAAAAAAATAGGGTGTTTTTAACTTAAGCGGAAAGGTTTGGTATTTTTAATCGTACGGCATGCAATAACTTCTACTAAGCAAAAACGAAAGAAAAACCAAACAACTACTCAGCAAATGGTGACGGTTAGCTGCCTCAACACAAATTTCTACACAAATTTTNATGCTTGAGCATATTGAGAAGATCAACGAAAAGTTGTGCGCAACTCAAAACATAATGATAAAGATTCTTCATTTCACGAAAGTGTCATTTAACTGTATACGCGAAAAAATAGGGTGTTTTTAACTTAAGCGGAAAGGTTTGGTATTTTTAATCGTACGGCATGCAATAACTTCTACTAAGCAAAAACGAAAGAAAAACCAAACAACAACTCAGCAAATGGTGACGGTTAGCTGCCTCAACACAAATTTCTACACAAATTTTCAACGTTAAGCGTGACTAGAGCGATTGCCAGACAAACGCAGCGCGTTAATTAATCATTCGGAATGAATTGGTTGAACATGCGCAGCATTAATGCGTCACCTTAGCAACTGACACGTGGATAAGCCAATGTCAGTGCTAAGGATTTCTGCGATGCAGGAAACAATGAAATGGGGGTTCATGAAACGCGTTTAAATAAAAATGTTGTGTTAAAAAAGAAAATAAAAGAAAACAGGAAAAAAATCATGTTTTTCTTGACTTACCTCTAAAGATGCACGCCACTGTCAGATAACGACCATGACGTGGATCACATGCTGTCATCATATTCTTGGCATCGAATATTTGTTGCGTGAGTTCGGAGACAGTTAGTGCACGATATTGTTGCGATCCTTTGGCTGTGAGTGGCGCAAAGCCCGGCATAAAGAAGTGTAAACGGGGGAATGGCACCATATTCACGGCCAATTTACGTAGATCAGCATTTAATTGACCGGGGAAGCGCAGGCAAGTTGTGATACCAGACATTGTGACCTATGCATGGAAAAAGTTAAGTTAAAAAGGTAAAAAGTGTAAGATGGTTAGTCGTTAGTCGGCAGGCATTCTTAAGTAGGCAATACATTGCGTATACGCCAGGGTGCATTGTTAGTGCAAGTGTAAAGAGTCGGGAGTTTGTACGCACGGTTGTTTGATGCACTACTAAGAAGTACACGTGAGTTATATAAGAAAGGCTTGTACATAGTCAATGTTTTCAAACGTGAATCGTGGCAACATTGGGTTACTTGTGTTGCTGCTGAAGGGGTTAGAGAAAACTGTAGGTCCTGCAATTATCTATAAATTATCTATAAAAACTGTCCGCTATTGTAAATATTTCACTTGGTAATCGAACTCTTGAAATAAAGTCTGAAAATTGTTAAAAAGGCAGGGAAGGATAGATGTTGCATGAGTCAAAGCATAGCAAAATGTTAGCTTACAAGAAAAAAAAAACTTTTCTTAAAAAACTACGCACTCTTTAAAATCTTTAGTCGCTGTACAAAGACACGTTTTCACCCGTTAACTTTTTACCACAAATAAAATGAAGCTCAGACCTGCTGGACTATCACTTTGTTCAGGGAAAATATACCTAGAGAATTCAAAGTTTGGTAAACCAGTTAAGGGTTAAAAGAATCGATCAACTATTTTTACAAGTTTTTTTTTGTATGTGAAATCTACCACTATACATTTTTTCGAAGTCCGCTGCAAAGCTACGTTATGTATACCGATGAATGTTGCGTATACGCCTAGGGCAAGCAAAGCTCAAATGCAAAGTACTAAAAACAAACACACTAAATACTAGTTGGTTTATTATACTTAGATATTGTACAAAGGAATATATAGTTTTAAAAAAAAAATACAACAACAAATGTCAAAATATTACAGCCTTTCCACCTAAAACCGAATTTAAAAAATTGTCATAAATTTGCATACAAGCACGAGTAAACCCATACATTTGATTTTTTATTTTGGAGAGTTGAGTAAAAACTATACATTTATTTTATTAAATTTCACAAAAAAAAGTAACCAAAAATATAGTGCATTATTAATATGCAAAACGTGGCGCAGAAATTTTAATTGCAGAAAATTCGATGAAGCGACTGAAGGGCACGTGCAAAAATATGGTTTATCTACGAAACTTGGACAACTTTTTTTAGATTATCCGGAATTTGTAAGCATTTGAAAAACAACGAAATATAAAAATTAGCGCATCATAATTTTAAGAATTTGAAAAGGCTCCCTTCAATTAAGTGAATTTACATGCATGTATTTACATGCATAATGATGTACTCGAACTAAGGCACATTAAACAGGTAGCAGCATTAGAGCAAAAACAATAAGCTGCGTGTATTTTGTTGTTAATATATATTTCAAAGTAAAATGTAAACAAAAAATACAATTCATGGACCACTTCGAATGAAACAAATCGAAATTGCAACCCTGCTGCTGCTAACTATTACATGGGCCTAGACTCGAACATTTACTTGCGGTATCGGTCTTATCTATAGCACGCCATTTCAAAGTGATATTGTTTGCCATTTAAAATTATTTTTGAATTTTTAAGAATTTTCAATTAAAATACAGTTCGTTCTCTAACAAAGCTTACATAAACCGAAGTGTAAAACTTTATAGAAAACTACAAAAAATGCAACAAATTTTCACCTAATTTTAAAATTTTTTCTTCGAAGTGTTCAAATTCTTTTGAGTATACAGCTTTCTAGCCTTCTCAATTTGCAAGCTTCAAGTGGCTAAAAATTACCGTTGATTTTTTAGATTTTTTGTCGCATTTGTTTCCATATAACGAGTAAACAGAATTTTGTTTTATATGGAAGAAAACCAAAACACCTGCGGCAAAAAAAACGTCTAAAAAATCAACGGCAATTTTTAGCCACTTAAAATTTGCACATTATTGGACTAAAATTGAATGTGCTATAAAACTGCGTTATCACAAAAAAATTTTAACACTTCAGAGAAAAAAGTTTGAAATTTGGGTTAAAATTTGTTGAATTTTTTTTTGTAGTTTCTTACAAAGTTTCAAATTCTTAAGATTAAATTAAAAAAAAACTAAACAAAGGGGGCTTGCACTTTGACTTGCGTGCTATAGATATGACCGATACTGTAAATGCAAATTTATGCTTTGCAACAGCAGCAATTAATTTTGCCCTTTTCAGGCGGTTTAGCTTGCTCTTTTGCTTTAGATGGAAATTACACTACAACACCACAATTCTACTTACGGACACCAGATGATTCAAATCTTCATAGGTGGGACATAGTAGACGCAACTTGTGATAACAAATGTCATACAATGCCTCATTATCGATGCAAAATGTTCCATCGGTGTTTTCGCACAATTGATGTGCCGACAGTGTGGCATTGTAGGGCTCAACAATTACCTCAGATACCTGTGCCGTATGCCACAGAGGAAGGCGTATGGCCACAAGCAAACACATGAGATATATATGTATGTATGTATACAAATACATATTCAAATACATATACGTTGGTAAATACCAGGCAAACGGCATTGTCGTCCAGTCATGCAACCGGGTCGGTCATCAATTGTCGTAGTTGGTGGTTGGTTTCAGTGTGTACAGGAGGTAATGTGGTGGACAGGGAGTGAATGCGGAAAAATCGGATCGAGGGGAAACAAGAGAAAATCCATTAGTATTGCTTGGTATATTGGTCAACTTACGGATACAAGATGATTCAAATCGCCATAGGTGGGCGATGTCAGCTTCAACGTGCGGAAGCAGATGTCGTACAGAGCCTCGTTGTCGATGCAGAATGTCCCATCGGTATTCTCGACAAGTTGATGTATGGACAATGTGGCATTGTACGGTTCTACAACGGTATCGGAAACCTGCAAAGCGCCAATGAATGAGCAAAATGTTGCAAGCAAGCATGCAGGCAGCCAGGTAGCCAAGCAAGTAGTCAGTTCGGAAAGCAGTATTCCGGTTCGTTTGATGTGCCACAGATGGTCAGGCAATGAATCCCAGCGTATTGGTGAAGTTTATGTTTGATTTGTTGTTGTTTGTGAGCATTGAGCATTAGTTTTGTTGTTAGATATGAGCATATTGCGGTCAACGGTTTTAGCAGCAGTCGCAGCAGCAATCGTGGTAGTTGCAATAGCCAGTGCCCAGATCGTACGACCATTCAGCAAGCGTTGAAGTATTGTGCGGTATAACAGGCCACCGGCGTAAATGAGCAGGTAAATAAAGCAGGTGTTGTGCATACAAAGCGCGTTGGCAGCATGAGATTGTCGCAAGCAAGTAGTATGGAAAAAAGAAAAGAAATAACATTTTTGGTAAGTTATACATACACGTCAATANTGCATATTGCGGTCAGCGGTTTTAGCAGCAGTCGCAGCAGCAATCGTGGTAGTTGCAATAGCCAGTGCCCAGATCGTACAACCATTCAGCAAGCGTTGAAGTATTGTGCGGTATAACAGGCCACAGGCGTAAATGAGCAGGTAAATAAAGCAGGTGTTTTGCATACAAAGCGCGTTGGCAGCATGAGATTGTCGCAAGCAAGTAGTATGGAAAAAAAGAAAAGAAATAACATTTTTGGTAAGTTATACATACACGTCAATATTTGTTTTAAACGTTGAATTACTGTTGTTATGACTAGTTAAATAGCAATAAGATGCACTAATGATTTAAGTTAAAATAAAATTGAATAAACTCAGTTTTATTATATTTTCATAGACTAGCAGTGGGATTTTGACAATCGATAAGCTTAGTTTTCGTCGCCAAAATGGTTTAAATGTAAAGCAGTGAGGCCCAAAAGTATGCAACATGAAAAAGTAATAGATGCAATATTTAATCAGCCAAATCTGGCAATGTGAGGGACTTGGGACAAGATGTTGCACGTTCTTAGGCGCGCCAGCTATTCATTTAGAGATTTTTGGTGATAAAGATTAGCGATAGCGATTTTCAGAAACCCATTGCTGGTATTTGTAAATTTTACTATATTTACTGAATCATATTTAGTGGAAATATTCTTGTTATGTCANCAGATGCAATGTTTAATCAGCCAAATCTGGCAATGTGAGGGACTTGGGACAAGATGTTGCACGTTCTTTACTATATTTACTGAATCATATTTAGTGGAAATATTCTTGTTATGTCATACCTTACTTTGGTAATTTTTGAATAAATGTTACCTGGGGTATTCCACCGTCACGGGCGGGACATTTGTACAGTAAAAATCTACTTTCTGTTTTAAATTTAATTATAAAGTACTCAAAATTCTACATTTTGATAAAGCTACAACTAATTCACTATTATATGAGTTATTACCAAATACGAAAAAAAGTCCAACTTATTTTTATATCTGAAAAAAATATGAGTTATTTCCTCTGTCACGGGTGGGACAAAAAAGAACCTGCTTTTAGGNTGATAAAGCTACAACTAATTCACTATTATATGAGTTATTACCAAATACGAAAAAAAGTCCAACTTATTTTTATATCTGAAAAAAATCTGAGTTATTTCCTCTGTCACGGGTGGGACAAAAAAGAACCTGCTTTTAGGAGCCGATGTATTTACGGAAACTCTGCGAATTTATTTTACTTTTCTGTGGACTTGATGTCTTGAAATAAACAAAAAATGAATCACGAATACTAACAAAGCAAAAACGTACACAAAAATTATTGTTTTATTAAGGCTCTGTCACATACTTCATTCTGACAAAAACGCAAGTGCCTTTATAAAAAAATATCTGAAATTTCGCTGTCAAGGGTGGGACCACGTTTGTCACGGAGATGTTTTCTAAAAAATCTGAATAAAAAGTTTAAAAGTCTTTTGGGTGTAATTGTTAAAGTTTGTTTAATTTGTATAATTTTTGTACGAACTTTGGAACGTGGATTTAAAGGGTGCTATGTAATGTGCTAGACTTTTATAAAAAAAATTTTAAATATTAAATAAAGAAAAGAAAAAACAAAAACTGGACAAAATGTCCCTTAACCCCCAGCGGTTCTTTGTATACGACCATATCGATGGCTGAGTGGAAGATCGACCTATCTCGGCAGCCAGTTCGAAAACGCTCTATCTCAAAAAACTTTTCAAGAAC